TGTTGGAGGATGGTTTAGTTCATGTTGGTGTCTGTGGGGATGGTTTTTGAGGGATGGTTTTTCACTGGTGTGGGGTTTAGTTCACTGTTGGTGTCTGTTGGGGGATGGTTTAGTTCACGTTGGTGTCTGTTGGAGGGGATGGTTTGTCTACTGTTGTTGTCTGTTGGAGGGATGGTTTAGTTCACTGTTGGTGTCTGTTGAGGATGGTTTATCGTGTCTGCTGGAGGATGGTTTAACTTACTGTGGTGTCTGTTGGAGGATGGTTTAGTTCATGTTGGTGTCTGTTGGGGATGGTTTAACTTACTGTTGTCTGTTGGAGGGATGGTTTAGTTACTGCTGGTGTCTGTTGGAGGGCAGTTTAGTTTACTGTTGTTGTCTGTTGGAGGATGGTTTAGTTCACTGTTGGTGTCTGTTATACTGACTGACCTGCTTACACGTAAAAAAAAAATGTCATAAATCACGGAAATAGACACAAAAATAAAACAATAAATTAACGACAATAACTAACCCCTTCCTCCTCCCTCCTCCCGACCAGTGATGAGAACTCGGCGGGAAAGTCGCTAAATCGTGAACTTTCCAGCCTCTTTAACGGGTTGATTTTAGCGATAAATTTCAACGAATTATGGGTTGAATTTAGCGATTTTAGGTGATTTTTTGGAACTAAGCGAATTTGAGTTCAGATTTTGCGATTTATTTATTTTTTTAATAAAGATTTAGCGAATTTAAGCTTGGATTTAGTGACTTAATCGATAGGGTATTGAATATTAGTACTTTTGGCGTTGATGTTGGCGAATTTTAGCGATTTTACTCGATTTATAGATTAATTTAGTAAATATAGCGATTTTGAGAACGATATTACGGCATTGAATTTTTTTTTTTATTCTAAAAAAATATTACCAAATTTAACAACTTTTAATTATACTAATATAAAATTTCAGCTATTTTGAGGAGGTGGAGAAAAAAGGAGGAGGGGGAAGGAGGAGGAGGGAAGGGATAGAGAGGAGGAGGAGGAGGAAAGGAAGAAGGAAGGGAGGAGGAAGGAGGGGGGAAGGAGGACTTTTAATTAGCGAGTAGAGTATGCGATGATTTTAGCGATTTGTTTTTCATTCACCTAGCGACTTTGGCTTATGAGAGTTGGTAACACTGTCCTTGTCTCAACCCCCACCCCCACCTACATACCCCAATTCCCTCCACCCCCACCCCCACCCCAAGGCATTATGGGAGGAAACACTAACTCATCGGGATTTAAGTTTCACATACACGGGGAAAATGGAAACAAAAATCGGGTTAAAATCGGGTGATGTCTATTAAGTTAAAGGAGTAATAGTAAAATATTAAAGTTGCAATAAATCGGTGTAAAAATCGGGTGGCGACTATTATATTACTGGGAATATTCTTTGTAAATTTAAAATATAGAAAGTTACGAAAATCGGCATAAATCGGATCATACAAATCGGCTCAAAATCACCGGAAAATAAAGCTTTAAAAATGTCGACGACACTAAAAATATAGTGTAGCTTAAACAAATAAATAATCAAACAAATGAACAAATACAATCAAACGAAAAATCAAGTAAACAAACAAAAACAAGTAATTAAACAAACAAATAAAACAAGAACACAAACAAACAAACAAATTATCTCAAATCTGTTACGAGAATCAAGTAAAACAAAATAAGAAGAAATAAATATGAAAAAGACAAACAAAATAAAAAACTTAAATCGGACAAATTCTGAAAAATAGGGCGAAAATCGGACTTAAAATCGGGAAAACAAACTACATAAATCGGTAAAATTAGATATCGGGTAGGGAGTAAAGCAAAAAAAAAAGTAAATAAATTAAATGAACGAAAAAAATCGGACTAAAAATCGGGTGGAAGATAACGTAGATAAATCGAACGAACGAAAAAAATCGGACCAAAAATCGGCAGCGGCTCGCGAGGGTAACAAGCCCTATTGAATAAACGTCATCTTATTACACGTGTTTACTGTAAAGAGAGGGAGAGGAAGGGAAGAGGAAAGGGAGAGGAGGAGGAGGCGGAAGAGGAGAAGAAAGAGAAGGCGATGAGGATTAGGAGGTGAAGAAGGAGGAGGAGGGGAAAGGGAAGAGAGGGAGGACAGGAGAATTTGTAGGAGGAAGAGGAGAAAGGGGAAGGAAGGAGGAGGGGAGAAAGACTAGAAGAAAGGGAAGGAGGTGGAGGAAGAGACGAAGGAAAAAGGGAAGGAGGGGAAAAGAGAATACCGCAGCGGGTAGGGGAATTCTTCGTCCATTTTCCCCTAAACTTTCGTCCCATCATCTACACCTTAATACACTCTGGCTTTCATAGTGGCAGGGAAGGAAAAAAAAAATCCCCCTAGAATACAATATTTATTTCCCTAAACCTCCCTTCTAGGTATATATGGAAGGGGAATATATTTATTTATTTTTAGGTCCCACGTATCAATATATTTCAACATTATGGTCTACTTTTAGGGGAAATAAATTCATCTAGGGATATTTTTCTCCCCTAAAATCCTACCTTAGTGGTTGATTAATAAAGGGATAACATTTAATTTGGGGATATAAAGGGCTTAGCTTAAGGGCTATGGCGGGGAAATATTTTGTTGAACTTACAGGGAAAAATTTACATCGACTTTTTTCCCCTAAAACCCCTAGGCGATTGTATTAATAGGTAACTCATTAACAAACCTATTTTAACTGATATATACGATACCTTAGACATAAAAGGAGAATATGGCGGGGAAATTTTTCTTCATTGTCAGGGGAAAATGACTCCTTTTCCCCCCCTACAGGTAATGATAGTGAGTGACTAATTAATCAAGTGGTCTGATACCTGACGAGTATCACGGTGATTCGGGGGGATATTTTCCGTGATTCGAGATTATTTATTCAGGATTCAGATTTTTTTCCTCTCGATTCGGGGATTTTTTCTTAGGATTCGGGAATTACTGTGATTCGGGGATTTTTTCTTTTGGTTTATCTTGGAGTATCGAGGATATTTTCCGGCATATAGGTGGGATTTCTTCAGGAGATTTACTCGGAAATAACTAATTTATCCATAATCCTTAAACCACGGATTTACTTATTTTACAGATTTGGGGATTTTCTTCGGATTTCAGATTTTTTTTCCATCGGGACTTAATAATTTTTTCGGGGATTTAGTCGGCATGGAGATTTTTTGCCCCAGTATTTAGGGATATATTTGACATATTTTCCCTGGCGTTGAGAGCGTTGGTCCCTATAACAGGTGGCTGTGGTGAGCGTTGATAAGGCGTTTAGCGTTGACGAAGTGAGGATTTATCAGGGGTAAGAAAGTGTTATATTCGGGATGAAGGGAAAAAAATGCTATAACGGAGGAAGAAAGTGTTATAAAGGGGGAAAGAAAGTGCTACAGTGAGGAAGAAAGTGTTATAACGGGGAAGAAAGTGTTATAACGGGGAAGAAAGTGTCACAATGGGGGAAGAAAGTATTACAACGGGGGAAGAAAACACAGGGGAAGAAAGTGTCACAACGGGGGGAAGAAAGTGTTACAACAGGGGAAGAAAGTGTTACAACGGGGGAAGAAAGTGGGGGAAGAAAGTGTTACAGCGGGGGGAAGAAAGTGTTACAGGGGGAAGAAAGTGTCACAACAGGGAAGAAAGTGTTACAACGGGGAAGAAAGTGTTACAACGGGGGAAGAAGTGCTATAATAGGGGAAATTAATGACCATTTCGATGTTAGTGGCTCAAGGACATCCCCCCCCCCTTCCTATACACACTCACTTTACCCTCCGGGGATGGGTGGGGGAGGGGAGGGGGAAGAGAAGAAGAGGGGAGAGGTGTATGTATGTATGTACGTATGAATGCATGTATGAATGTATGTATGTATGTATGAATGTACTGTAGGTATGAATGTATGTATGTATGTTGTATGTATGAATGTATGTATGAATGTATGTTGTATGTATGTATGTATGTATGTATGAATGTATGTATGTATGTATGTTGTATGTATGTATGTATGAATGTATGTATTGTTACGCCGTCTCTTAATTTACTTAAATATCCAGGTTCTAGGCGTAACCAAACAAAAAGTGAAGTAAATTAAAAGAGAATAAAAATAAATAAAGTAAACCTTTAGGAATTTAATTAATTAAATATTAACACAATAAAGAGCCTCGTAGGCTGTCACAACAAACTGATTCACCATCGAAACTTTTAAGACACAAGTGATACAAAACATCGAAACATCAAAAGAATAAAAATAAAGCATTGGATTACGTTAACACTGCATAAACATATAAAAACTATCACTGAAATTAACTAACGTGAAACAACACTGAATTACTTGAATACAACTAGGCAAATACTGATGGACACAAACAGAGACATAAATAGGTACTCACATAGATATACCACATTGGTGGCGACAGGAACAACACAAATAAATTAAGTATAAGTAACAAGTGACACTCAAAGGATGTGGACTGTATGACAAGAGGACTGAACTGACTCAAGTCAGTTGGTGGGTCCTATATATAAGGTCGGCTCCCGCCATGCGACCCGCCGGTGGGTCGTTTAACGATGCAGATGGTCGTTAGAGAACAAAGAATGCTGGTTACAATACAAAATGGGTTTGAACAAATAATGACAGTTAAAACCTTAACAGCACAGGTTAAGGTGACTAGAATATATAATAGTAAATTTAACACATCATTACAGGAATAATATGGAACATGGGAGCATGTTATATATAAAAAAATAGAAAAAATTCGACACGGTCGTAACAGAATGTATGTATGTTGTATGTATGTATGTATGTATGTATGTATGCATGTATGTATTTTATCAATCAACTAATTACCTTCAACTCAAATTATATTTACAATGTAGTTATGCCCCATAGTTATACCTCAAATGACCTCTGACCTTTCATGGCGTCGTAATTACTCTGTGACCCCCCAAATGACCTCATAACACTTTATTTACCTTGTGACCTCATATGTGACCTCTCCCCGGCAGGATGATGAATGGTCAACAAGCGGGAGGAGGATCGTCACGGTCGTCAGAGTCCCGTGACCCCCACCAGGATGATGACGATGACGACCTCATCAATCCAGGCTCCCCCACCCCCCTCGACGACAGCGACGACGAGGATCTGTCTTTGGGTAAGTGGTCGTGCTGGAATGGTCGTGCTGGAATGGTCGTGCTGGAGTGGTCGTGCTGGAGTGGTCGTGCTGGAGTGGTCGTGCTGGAGTGATCGTGCTGGAATGGTCGTGCTGGAGTGGTCGTGCTGGAGTGGTCGTACTAGAGTGGTCGTGCTGGAATGGTCGTACTAGAGTGGTCGTACTAGAGTGGGCGTGCTGGAGTGGTCGTACTAGAGTGGTCGTGCTGGAGTGGTCGTACTAGAGTGGTCGTGCTGGAGTGGTCGTACTGGAGTGGTCGTGCTGGAGTGGTCGTACTAGAGTGGTCGTGCTGGAATGGTCGTACTAGAGTGGTCGTACTAGAGTGGTCGTACTAGAGTGGTCGTACTAGAGTGGTCGTGCTGGAATGGTCGTACTAGAGTGGTGGTACGGCCTTAAACATAGTCGTCCTTGTATACAGTATAGCATCATAAATATACATTTCCGCCATAAAGGTTTAACATAAAACACCTCCATATTTGCATAAAACAAATAAAGGCCGGGTTACCTTGCTCACGCGTTGCAAAGATAAATAACAGCGTTCATCGTTGCAAAAATTTACAACCAGATTGGATCATATTGCCAATAATTCACTCTTACACCAATTTACGGCCGGTTAGGTTTGCTTCTGTCAACAATTTCCACCCAAAGAATATTTTTCACACATATATATATATATATATATTTCACTGTTAGTCATTTAAAAACACGCTATTTATTTTTTATTTCAATTGAGAATGTTGGATATATATATAATTTCTAACAGTATTTTTTTTTTTATTTGTGTATTTTTGTGTCAGTTATGTAAAAACACACATATTTCTTTTGGTTTATTAACTGAGGAAATATATTACCCACTCACTCACTCACACAACCACCCACCAACTCACTCACTCACTCATCCACCCACCCACCCACCCACTCACCCACCCACCCACCCACTCCAACACTCAGCCTTGGGATCGCTGTCTGGAGGTCTCCCTTGAGTGTGTGTGTGTTTATGTTGGCGCTCAATGTGTTGTAAGCCCTTGAGGGACGGTGTTATGTCGGTGATATTACCACTAATATTCTCTCCACACCTTCTCCAGTAATATTCTCCCCACAGTGTTGCCGGTGATATTCCCCCACAGTGTTGCCAGTAATATTCCCCCACAGTGTTGCCAGTAATATTCCCCCACCAGTAATATTCCCCCACAGTGTTGCCGGTGATATTCCCCCACAGTGTTGCCAGTAATATTCCCCCACAGTGTTGCCAGTAATATTCCCCCACAGTGTTGCCAGTAATATTCCCCCACAGTGTTGCCAGTAATATTCCCCCACAGTGTTGCCAGTAATATTCCCCCACAGTATTTCCATCATTAACATCTGTCCCAAGCTTGGTTACTCCTCATTTCAGACTTAGGTTGATTTAATGACATTTAATTGGAATTCATTAAATGCTAATTAGTAACGCAACTTTTAATTTATCCCTACATCAATTATTGTTAATTGTTAACAGATGAATGGTTGATGGAGGTAATTATGTGTCCGTTGTCTCTCTCTCCCCCCTTCCCCCCTCTCTCTCCTCCCTCCTATCTCTCCTCCCCCCTCTCTCTCCTCCCTCCTATCTCTCCTCCCCCTCTCGATCCTCCCCCTATCTCTCCTCCCCCCTCTCTCTCTACCTATCCATTTATTTATTTTCCACCCTCATACCTACATCCTCACTCACTGTCTCACCCACCTCCCTCACTCACCTGTCTGCGACCTCCCCTCACTCACCTTCTCACCCACCTCCCTCACTCCACCTGTCTCACCTACCTCCTCCTCACCTGTCCTCCACCTACCTCCCTCACTCACCTGTCTCACCGACCTCCCTCACTCACCTGTCTCACCTTCTCCCTCACTCACCTGTCTCACTTTCTCCCCCTACAGGTACTCACTCTCCGCCGCCAGTAGCCGAGAGTCCGCTACCCACCGCCACCTCTACCGAAGGAGGGGTCATCTCTCCGGGTTCCAACAACACCTCCTCCCACCCACCCTCCGTCTCCCCTCACCCGGCCAGCATCTCCCCTCACCCGTCGTCTATCTCCCCTCACCCGTCGTCCATATCACCTCACCCATCGACGACACCTCCACAGAGCTCACCGTTACCGCTACTGAAGACTGGAGCGTCGACACCCACTTCCGATCACCAGATAATTTCATCCCTGGAGGTCACGAAGCCCTATTTGGTACCTCACATGTCGTCGCTGCCTCTCATGACCTCCTTAGCGACCTCCTTGGCCTCGCCTCTCTCCCTCTCATCCCTTCCTTTCTCCTCCATGGCCGCGGGGGAAGGTTTCAAGTTCCCCTCACACCCGTTCCTTCCCCATCCACATCCCCTCCTTCACCCTTTCTCTCTCCATCACCCCCTGCCCCTAGTCACCCCTCACACCCATCCCTTCTTCTCTGCTCTCCCCCCTCACAACCCCTCCGCTACGTAAACCTCCTCATCCTCCTCCTTCGTCTCTTCCTCTTCCTCTTCCTCCTCCCTGGCTCATAGATAATTAGCAAACCTACATGATAAATTATTTGATAAATCCCTCATCTAAATCCCCCGAGCGTGTACAGTTATCCTTAATTGTAATCCTACCATATCCCTCCTTGCTTCCTTCCTTCCTTCAGTCATGGATACCGGAAGGATCCTTTTTCCACCCGCTTCATCATGGCCAGATATAATATCCTCAGAGTCGATAATCCTCACCCAAACAGTCACCTGCAGTCTTCACCTAACAGTCAACAGTCATCACACAGTCACCTACCTACAGTCAACAGTCTCCAGTCATCACACAGTCATCTACCTCGAGTCAACAGTCTCCAGTCCTCACATAGTCGCCATCTACCGACAGTCAACAGTCTCCAGTCATCACACAGTCACCTATCTACAGTCAACAGTCTCCAGTCATCACACAGTCGTCATCTACCTCGAGTCAACAGTCTCCGGTTACTCACACAGTCACCTACCCACAGTCAACAGTCTCCAGTCATCACACAGTCACCTACCTACAGTCAACAGTCTCCAGTCATCACACAGTCGTCATCTACCTCGAGTGAACAGTCTCCAGTCATCACACAGTCGCCCTCTACCGACAGTCAACAGTCTCCAGTCCTCACACAGTTATCACCTACCTACAGTCAACAGTCTCCAGTCATCACACAGTCACCTATCTACAGTCAACAGTTTCCAGTCCTCACACAGTCTTCACCTACCTACAGTCAACCGTCTTCAGTCCTCACACAGTCGTCACCTACCTACAGTTAACAGTCTCCAGTTACTCACACAGTCAACAATAGTCTTGAAGCATTGGCTACACTCAGAAAAAAAACCACATTCATCATTGGCTGACACTATTTCCCCCTCCTCGCCCTATTGGTTATATCTCTCTCCTTCTAACCAATCAGCGTGAGAGGATGACGTCCACTAAGAAATCTCTCTGGGGAGCCAATGAGAGACTCCAACTCGACTATGAAATCTCTGAAGGCTTTGAGTCGATGGAGAATGAGATATCTCTTATGAATTCAACCACTGATTATTGTTTACAAGATGACTTAATCGCTTATTAATGAGAAAAAAATTGAATCTCTCGTCTTGCTGCCCAGTCCTCAAGGGGTTATGTCATCGTCCTTAAGGGGTTGTCATCGTCCTTAAGGGGTTAAGTCATCGTCCTCAAGGGGTTATGTCATTGTCATCAAGGGGTTAATTCATCGTCCTCAATGGGATGTCATCGTCCTCAAGGGGTTAAGTCATCGTCCTCAATGGGTTAAGTCATCGTCCTCGTCGTCCTCAATGGGTTAAGTCATCGTCCTCAAGGGGTTAAGTCATCGTCCTCAATGGTTAAGTCATCGTCCTCAATGTTGTCATCGTCCTCAATGGGTTAAGTCATCGTCCTCAAGGGGTTAAGTCATCGTCCTCAATAAGTCATCGTCCTCAAGTCATCGTCCTCAATGGTTGTCATCGTCCGTCATCGTCAATGGGTTAAGTCATCGTCCTCAAGGGGTTAAGTCATCGTCCTCAAGGGGTTAAGTCATCGTCCTCAAGGGGTTAAGTCATCGTCCTCAAGGCTGGACGAACTCTAACGCGACACAAGTTATAAATAAACATTACGAAGGGGAAATAATCCAAAGGATATATGACGTCATCCACTGTGTCCTTCATCCTCGACTCAGCTGCTAGTGTGACGCCACAACATTCTCACCCTAGATAATATCTCAAGTGTGACCTTATCTCCTTCTCTCACCCTCCATAACATCTCAAGTGTCACCCATTCCTACATTTTCTTGTTTTTTTTTCCCATGATGATCACCAGCAATGTAAGCCGCTTTGTTTTCTTTCGTACCATGAAAGATCCCGAAGAGTGGAACCCGCTTCACATTTTCTTTATCCTCAAGTAAAAAAAAACCCCCAAGAAGTGTAACCCCCTCCCCCCTTCCCCTTCCCCCCACACCACCCGTCATCATTTTCTTACCTGACACCCCCCTCCCTCCCCCACCCTACCCCATCAGATGACGTCAAGAAGCAATTTGTTGCTCTAACTTGGTCTTACGATAGAACAGTGTGCTAGCTCATTGTAAATACGGAGTCCTTAATACTAATTCATCTTGTTAGAATGACCCTTGACGTGACCTTGACCCGCCATGTGGACTACCCTACCCTCACACCCAACATCCGTGTAATAAATGTATCGCCCATTTGGGGAAGCTTAAAGCGAGGTGTGTGTGAAACTATGAATTCTGATTGGTTACCTTAATTAACAGTCCTTGAGGAACCAATTACGACACGCTATTCAGTAAATGACTTGACCAATCAAGAAGACAAGGTGATGATAAACAACCAATCATATATATTCCTAAGTGTCTATGAGTAATCTAATCAATCAGAAGACAATCAAATAACTTAATAATTCGCTATTGGCTGATTTCACATGAGGCCAACCAATCACATATCACGGTTTATACAAGTGTCTCAACCCTCGCTTGTGGCTTCAGTATTCGAATTGTTGTATGATATTTTGAAGAGCTCGATGGTGTTTCTGCTACTAAACCTTCTTCCCAGAGTTATTGTTGTATATACAGATTATTGTATCTATCATTATTGTGAATAATAAAAAATATTAATGAACACGCGAGTTTTCCTTTAACCTCTTAGTATAGTTAGTATGGTTGTTTCGTCTCACTATTATGATGAGTAGTAGTAGTAGTAGCCTAAAAATGAATTCAAAGATGATGCTAAATATAATGAAAAAAGTACGACTACTACTACTACTACTACTAATAATAATAATAACGGTACTGGCAATGGATTTTAAAGGTTAATCATTTGGGAAATTATACACACATAAACACACACCCACCCATTCCTAGACCCACCCACACCCACCCATCCATACACCCACCTACACCCACACACCCACCCATCCATACACCCACCCATCCACACACCCACCTGCACCCACACACCCACCCACACTCACCCATCCATACACCCACCCACCCACCCCACACCCCACACACCCACACCCACACACCCACACAAACAGCAGGTGAAATAAACTGGGTGATGGGATAGGTAGGGTTACTATTTAATTGCTCCTATTATAGTTTCAAATTAATGCTGATAATATACAATACAAACTCGAACTGTAATAGCATAGAAAGTTTAATACAGTTACATAAAGTAGCCGAAAATACGAAGAGACAACAACAGCTTCAAAATTTTCTTCAAGCTGTAATCATGAAGAGAGACAAAAAGAAAAAAAAAAGCTTTATTACAAACACGTACAATTAGTTACAGTCACATTGCACTCACACTGTAATCTGAGTTCCACAAGGTTACAAAAAAAATCAGAAGACATCATAGAGATATAAAATAAAATAAAATAATAAACGTGTTAAAAAATGACTCGTGCGACCCAAACTGATCTTCTCTGAGTGACGACCCAAACTGATCTTCTCTGAGTGACGACCCCAAACTGATCTTCTCTGAGTGACGACACTTATCATGGCGGCCCTTTAGTCCTCCAACACTCATGTAACTGAGACAATGGTGAGTGATTTTCATTGAGTGGTGGGGAGGAGGAGGAGGAGAGGAAGGAGGAGAGGAAGGAAGGAGGAGGGGAGGGCAGGATTGGTGAAGGGGTGAGGGATGGAGAAGGAAAGGGAAGAGATGAGGGAAGAGTGAGGGATGGATAAGGGAGGGAGGGACTGAGGGGGAAGGGGTGAGGGAGGGAGGATGAGGCAGGAAGAGGACGAAAGGGTTAGGGAGGAGAAATGGGGAAGGATAGTGGGAAGGGGAAAGGGAGGGAATGAGAGGATATAAGAGTGAAGGAGGACGAAAGGGTGAGGGAGGGAGGGGAAAGAGAGGGAGGGGGAAAGGAAGGACGAAAGAGTGAGGGAGGAGGGGGAAAGGGAGGACGAAAGAGTGAGGGAGGGAGGGAGGGAATCTGGGCCATCACCGCTCAGGGTTACACAGGTCCTAATGCACACACCCACCAGGCAGGGCGCGGTGGCACGGTGGATATTACACTCGCCTACGGCCCCACACCAGGTTCGAGTTCCGCGTTTGGCAAAAGAGTGGGACGCCCCTCGTCGACCCAGCGGCAGTATGGAGCACTTAACTTTAGAGCTGAAGAAATGAAAGTCAAAAGAGAGCAGTGATGGGCGTTCTTCCTCCTGGTAAACATAATGTTAAAGTCTTCAGTGTACTGTGTCCGCACTGCCCCGATCGGTTCGTCTGGTCTATGGAACCCACAACAGTACAGGTAAGTCGACCAGGTACCAGGTGTTGTTTACGGCGCTCTGAGGAACATGCGTGTGTGTGTGTGTGTGTGTGTGTGTGTGTGTGTGTGTGTGTGTGTGTGTGAGGGAGCAGGTCATAGACGAGGTACAACTCTTATCTTCAGTAAAAAATAAACAAATTCCTGAGACCTGATAAGAACAGGTAAACTGGACAATTAAGTCCAAGAGACAGGTGACACACACACACACACGCGGGGTAGAAGACAATGAGTATAACCAGTGTGTTCTCTTCAATAACTTTGTGGGGAAACTTGCAGAAACACATAACTCACACCTTAAGGCTTCCAATAACAGGTAAACTAGTCAATTAAGGCCAACTTTCAGGTGGGGGGGGGTTACTCAACTCCCCACAGCACACAGGGTAGAAAGTCATGGAGGTGTAGGAGGGGTGACGGGGACCATGGTCATAACAACACTACACAAGACACAGCAGCCATCAGCATGTTGTCTCACACAGCTCTTGACACACACGTCCGGTATCTCTTTAATCAACAGTGGTTACAATATACCTCGTCTTGATTAGCGAGTGTGTTAATACCTGTGTGTGTGTGTGTGTGTGTTTTGCGTCTCACCTACAGGAGGATATATTGATCACTGCCTCACCAACCTCTGCCTTATAACAGTGTCCGCCCCCAGCACCTGTCACTCTACCGCCTAATTGGGCTTTGCCGCACCTGCTGCCGTGTCTCTCTCCTCCCACAAAACCCACTGTTGCTGTTTCTCTTTCAAGTAAAACTCAAACATCAACAAGAACAATAAATAAAATACCATCCACAACTGTCAAAAACAAAAGACTCATTTCACAAGCGTCAGGAACACTATCAAATAATTACAATTAACAAAAAAAAAAAGAATTATTTGAATTTTTATCTTAATCACATTACCGTGTTAATTGTATATAATAGTTCGACACCAGGACTGACGCTCGTTTAGTTATATTTATCATTCAGTTGACAGTGAATTAATAACAACACTATTGTCTCTCATATACAACAGTTTTACTCATTAATAAAAGTTATCTCTCATAATCTTCGTCGCTTTTGTTAGGAGACAGACAGACAGACACAGATACAGACACAGACAGACACAGACAGACATAGACACAGACATAGACACAGACAGACACAGACAGACACAAACACAGACATAGACACAGGCTGGCTTTATTCCTTAACAAACCTATAGGAGATAACTAAACCCTAATTAGACCAACAATGTACACAAACACTATACTTACAGCCGTCTACACATACAGTAGTACAGGTAATAACATCACCCTCATGTGTACATCCCTTAGACACATAGCACTGTATACACACACACACACACACACACACACACACACACACCGAAATTATTATTATTATTATTATTATTATTATTATTATTATTATTATTATTATTATTATTATTATTATTATTATTATTAAAGGCGAAGAAAAGTATATAGATATATTAGTCTCGGTA